AGATTAGCTTGAATATGCGAGTAGTACTTTGGGAGAAGGCTACGAGCAATATTAACCATGTCAACCAATAAACCAGATAAATTAATTAGACGATTTAAGTGAAAAACTCAACGGGATTGTTAGCTAACTCATAGCTCTAGAATATTCACTCACATTAAATTCGTCTTTAAGCTTGTCGTTATTTTCTTTAATCTCTTAATTTATTACTCTAGATTAATTTTAATTTTATTAAATATTCATAATTTAGAAAAGTGCTTGATAAGATTAATTGTTTGGTTTAATTTAGTTGATAGTTAAATCACAAGTCCATGTGGGTACGATATCTGAACTTACAATCCTATATTACTTATCGACCATGTATATTTGCGTGTGCGTTTAGGAGCAATAGTTATTATATAGAAAAATATTATATTTATATGTACACTAATTAAGCCTTAAGAGACTACTAGCGTTGAGGCTGATTTTGTTTTCACTTCCATTTAGCTTGCTCCTTACCTCTTGTGTGTTAATTAATTTCACCGAGTTATTAGTGTTCTCCGTCTTTTATCCACCCACTTCTCTAAGTTTCTCGTCCGGAACATTGTCAATTCTACTCTAAACAACTCGCCCTACTCTTTATTTATGGTTTTGTTCTTGAAAAATACTCCCGCTTTTGAGTTTGTAATATTTTACTTCCTCTGAATAAAAGAAAATAAAACAGTAACATTTTAAATGCTTTAACTTCCTCTAAATAAAAGAAACTATAATATTATTAACTTTTGATTAATCTTTATTCGCTTTCGCCTTTCGATAAACTTTGCATTCTTTGAACTCTTTCCTCGGTTAGAACACTTTTTTCGAGTTTAGCAGCACATAGGGTGATTTAATTCTACAAATTCAAAATTTTATAATAAACTGTGATAAAAGAAATTCTAACAAATATTTGTTAAGTGCTTGGCAACTACAACAATGATACGATTACAAATTTATAGTTCCAATGGATGTACACGCGCAATGGGTTAAAAGTTACATGCGTCAGGATCTTTACGCAGTTGGATATGTTTTTTAAATGTGAATAGTTTTCAAATCTTTTTCACTTTAGGCTTTCTCTCGTCTTGCCCTTAAGAGATTGAAGTAGTGGTTGGTTTGTCTACTTGGAAAGACTTTGGAGTTGAGAGGTTGAAGTATTATTAGCTGGTTTGTTCAATTTGGAGACGATGCAAAATAAGCTGGTTCAGTTGCATCTCCAATCTACTAGCAAAGTGACAGTGAGGTTGAAGTATTATTAAGTGCTTTGCCTAAAGTAGGCTTGAGTCCAACTTGTAGGCCAGACATGATTTGTCCAGTCTATGGACACTCCTAGCATGCATCAAATTATATCCGGCAAAGGACCAAATATACCCCTGTATTTTCGAAAATGGTCTAAGAATACACTTCGTTATACTATTGAGTTATTTATACCTCTTCCGTCATATTTTGGAACAAATATACCCTTATTTTGGATGGAGTGCCACGTGGCAGCACCAGATGAAAACGACTCATTTCTTTTTTTTTTTTACCCGATTCGTTTTAAAAAACCCACCACCCGACCCGTTTTAAAATTTAATTTTTTTAATTTTTTTAAAGCATATATTTTGTAAAAACTGAAATTCTTTTTTGTAAAAACTGAAAAAAAAAAAAAAAAAAAAAAAATTTGCAACATATATATTTTTAAGTTTTTTAAAATTATTTTTTTTGTAAAAACTGAAAAAAAAAAAAAGACTCTCCTAAAGCAATGGACTACATATGTATCAGTTTAAAAAAATAAAAATATTTTGCAATTATTTTTCTCAGTTTTTACAAAAAAATATACTTTAAAAAACTAAAAAATATATATTTTACAAATTCTTTTTTTTTTTTTTCAGTTTTTACAAAATATATATTTTTCACTTTTTACTTTAAAGCATTTTTTTTAAAAAAAAAATGTAAAAACTGAAGAAAAAAAAAGAATTTGCAAAATATATATATTTCAGTTTTTTAAAGTATTTTTTTTGTAAAAACTGGAAAAAAAAAATTGCAAAATATTTTTTTTTTTTAAAACTAATGCATATGTAGTCCACTGCTTTAGGAGTCTTTTTTTTTTTTTTTCAGTTTTTATAAAAATATACTTTAAAAAAGCTTAAAAACTTAAAAATATATATTTTGCAAATTTATTTTTTTTCAGTTTTTATAAAAATATACTTTAAAAAAGCTTAAAAACTTAAAAATATATATTTTGCAAATTTATTTTTTTTCAGTTTTTACAAAAAATAAATTTCAGTTTTTACAAAATATATGCTTTAAAAAACTAAATTTTAAAACGGGTCGGGTGGTGGTTTTTTTAAAACGGATCAAGTAAAAAAAAAAAGAGATGGGTCGTTTTATGTGGTGCTTGCACTCCATCCAAAATAGGGTATATTTATTTCAAAGTATGACGGGAGGGGTATAGATAACCCAATAGTATAACGAGGGGTATTCTTAGACAATTTTCGAAATACATGGGTATATTTAGCCCTTTGCCGAATTATATCATATGTATTTGCATTCTGCTTCAATAATTAGCTGTCAGTAGGAGTGGCAAACGGGCGAGTCAGGTTGGATATGGTTCGGGTCGAAAACAGGTAATGAAAAAATAAATAAATTATCAGACCCGACCCATATTTAATACGGATAAAAAATGGATTAACCAACGGATAATATGAGTAACCATATTATCCATGACTTCTTGAATATGAAAACTTTTGGGAGAATTCCTAGTCTCTCAAACTTGAGGAACCCCCAATTTGAGGTTTTACAAATGTAACCATATTAGTTTAAAAAAATGAAAATATTTTGCAATTATTTTTTTCAGTTCTTACAAAAAATATACTTTAAGAAACTGAAATATATATATTTTGCAAATTTCTTTTTTTCAGTTTTTACAAAATATATATTTTTCAGTTTTTACTTTAAAGCATTTAAAAAAAAAATGTAAAAACTTAAAAAAAGAAAAGAAAAAAAAGAGGGGATTTGCAAAATATATATTTTTCAGTTTTTTAAAGTATTATTTTGTAAAAACTGAAAAAAAAATATTTTTTTTAAACTAATGCATACGTAGTCCACTACTTTAGGAGTCTTTTTTTTTTTTTTCAGATTTTACAATTTTTTTTCTGTTTTTACAAAAAAAATACTTTAAAAAAGCTGAAAAACTTAAAAATATATATTTTGCAATTTTTTTTTTCAGCTTTTACAAAAAAAAAAATTCTAGTTTTTACAAAATATATGCTTTAAAAAAACTGAAAAAACTGAATTTTAAAACGGGTCGAGTAAAAAAAAAAGAGATGGGTCATTTTATCTGGTGCTACCACGTGACACTCCATCCAAAATAAGGGTATATTTATTCCAAAGTATGACGGGAGGGGTATAGATAACTTAATAGTATAACGGGGGTATTTTTAGACAATTTTCGAAAATACATGGATATATTTAACCCTTTGCCGAATTATATTATATGTATTTGCATTCTGCTTCAATAATTAGCTGTCAGTAGGAGTGGCAAACAGGCGAGTCAGGTCGGATATGGTTCTGGTCGAAAACGGGTAACAAAAAAACGGATAAATTATCCGACCTGACCCATATTTAATACGGATAAAAAATAGGTTAACCGACGGATAATATGGGTAACCATATTATCCATGATTTCTTGAATATGAACACTTTTGGGAGAATTCTTAGTCTCTCAAACTTGAGGAACCCCCAATTTTAGGTTTTACAAATGTAAAAGTTAAACCTATTAGTTATCCATTGGTTACCCATTAATTATCCATTTTCTAAATGAATAATATGATTTTTATCCATATTTGACCTATTTTTAAAAAGTTTATTATCCAACCCATTTTTTAGTGGATAATATGGGTGGTTAAGTGTGTTCTTTTAACCATTTACCCCAGGTGTCAGCATCATATGCGTTTGCATTCTGTTTCACAACAATTCTTGCTTGCACTAATCTAGCTGTTCATCATCATGTCAGCACCCGCTCGTCTTATCGGTTTTGCAGCAAAGCATTTAGCTTCTAGCCTGAGCAAAGGGGGTGCCTTGCATCCCAAATTCCACCAACCCGTCCTCAAAATGGCACAGGTAAATGAATGGAGTATTCTTTATTTATGAGAAAAACCTGTAGAAAGTTTTAAAAGAATTTCATTTTGGCTAAGCTTCGGTTAGATAAGCCAGAAGTATTAACACTTGCTTTCTCTTTTTCTGGAATTAGAGAATGCGCATCGACATTGCTGATGAGAAGAAAGCAATTGAGGCAACTGTCCATTATCTCCTTTGCTTCACGGTTATGCGAATTGATTTGTCATTGATGTATACTTTCAAATTTTAGCAAACAACAACATTTTGTAGGATCTTGTATCTGCCACCTCAACTTCACACAGATTTCTATCAATTGCTTGACATGATTTATTACTTGTTTTTGTTGTTTAGACGATAGGTGCCGCAGGTGTGGGTTTGGTCTATGAGCACAAATATTCATCGAGAAATCAATCAAATCAGGCGTGGATTTCCAATTACCAACCACGTGAGAGGTAAAGCAAGAGTTGTACCTATTGTATATATCTAGCTGGCCTTCAAAACAATGATAAAACCATTTGAGACGCCCGCTATTATTAACTGTCAGTGTAGATTAATTGCATCTTCTTGCATTGATTTGTTAAAAGAAGAAAACCGGTTATTTTTAATGTCTTACATTTTATAACTGTGACAGGCGATGCGCGTGGATGGAGCTCTGGTCAAGGCGATTAACTTTGAAAAATATGAATGAGGACAGTTGAGGTCCGTGGTTGACTAAGGTAGCGAAGGAGAGGAGATGGTTAATACTTCTTGCTATAGTTAGCATTGTAATTTCTGGTTATTATATTTACTAGGTAGTGCACGAGCCCAATAATGTATGAGCTGAATTTTTTTTTCTATTAACGTTGTTTTGATACGAAATTGCAAATAATAAAAATTGATGCAACACTATATTAACTGATAAATATTACTCCTACTATTTACATATATAAAGGAACCAAACACAACAAGGAACCAAAAGAATAGTAGAAGACCTCTTTTACAGGTGACAAAATCAACAAAGAACAATCACTTGAAGTAGTTTTTAGATTGTTTCGAAATGGAAGAACTCAGCTAAACATACAATATTTATACATAAAATATCATATGAGAGAAAACATTACCTTTTAATTGAAAAATGCCTCCAAATATGACTAAGAAGCCTGAAATGAATAAAATGGATAAATCATTTTTTAAATCGACAAGATGAGGATCGAGAGATGTCGGGCCCTTCTCAAAATAACAAAGAAGTTAAGGAGTAGAATAACAATACTTATCACACTATGAAATGTTGCGCACGAACAAACAACTACCATAACAGAATGTAACTACTGTAATAATAACAAAGAAGATAAATACAATAAAAAATGAAGTATCAATAATGGACAATTGCAACCAAAAGGTTGACAAAAATGAAAAATTACATCAATTCAAGTGCTAGAGGCAAGTCATATGCATGCGATGACTAATTAACTACCAAGTTACTCATGAGTATCTCCACCATGCTGGACAAGATCAAGTATTTGTTAGCTTAACTGCTCAATGTACTATTTATTCTAGATCAAAACATCAAACAACAGTGATAGACAAAATCCCTCTTCTTTTTTTCCAATTTAAAATTTTCAGAAAGAAGTCTAAATCAAATGAATTTACTCAAACAAACATGGTCAGATAGGTAAAGCCAATGGTTGAGACTCAGAAAGTTATTATTGAAAAGCATCAGTTATGTACCAAAAAGTTCAATTGCTACTTCGGATAAAAGATATCAGATACATTTCGAGACCTTGCAACTTCTAGCCACAATACTCATAGCACAAAACAACACTACTAATTCAACAAAAAGGATCATTGTTAATTAATTCAATCATGCCTCTCATCCGAACGCTTAATCAAAAGGATGAATTATCACTGCACCAGTCCTACCTCAAATAGATGAAGAAAAAAATTACGAAGGAAAATATAAAATGCCCAAAAGGTACAAAACAAAGCACTAAATCGAAGAGGACCGTCGAAGAAAGAGATTAAGCCAGTAAACATTTACTAACCTCCGAGTCTTCTTTCAATACCATTATGTATTTTAGAAAAATTTATAGCGCTAATTCCCGTCTACTCCCAGTCACACAGTCGGATTTAGCACATGATAACCATGAAATTGCAAAATTAAAAAGTATTCATAGAACCGGGAAAAGCACCTAAAGAAAAACGACGAAGAGAAAAAGTACGAAGACAACCCAAAATATTACGAAAGGACAAAAAAAGAGAAAAGAGAAGAAGATCTGAGAAAAAATTAAAAGAGGAACACACTTTTACCTACACCCAGCAAGAACAAAACAAAGAGAGCTTTAAGAGCAAATGGAGATTTCCGGGAGACCCGAAAGAAACTCTTGAAAGAAAGGGAAACACCTACAATGATGTCTCTTCGGCGTACACGTAGAAGTACAAGTAAATAATTGAAAGACACGTAAATGACATTGATAAGAGATGCTGAAGGTCCAAAAATACCCTCTGCGTTTTTTTAAATGACCAAAAACAGCCATGTCGAAACTCTTTCTCTTCTAATATGCTAGGCGATAATGGCCCGTGCCCAACATACTGAATTTAGAAATTCTATTTTCTTTTCAGGAGGGGTGCTTTAGACCTACTGACTAATGAGTTTGAGAATGCCAGTCATGCCTAATGAGTTTGATTCTCAGTAGTAAGTACTCAAATCACTTGTTTCATGATGAAGCAGTTCATAGTTCCAAACCAAAGATACACGCACACTACCGTTGGAGGGTTTCGACATACACTACACTACATAGCTTGGTAATCGTACAAATGTTTTCTATCTATATGAAAGCACCAACTCTCCATGTGCAACGAAAAGAATTGTACAGGAAGTGTGAATCTGAAATATATCAAAATGTTGTTCCTATGTACTCTTGGTTAGAAGAGACAATTGCTTGTATCATTTGCCATGGCAATACTCTGAACTCCTCTTCAGTCTATACTGGACGGCATCCCACCGGGTATGACTTCAATAGCCTCTAGAATTTAAACTCAAATTTCAAAATAAGGAGGGACAATACCTGTCATGCTTGAAACTGTTGCAAAATTCGGAAATGCCTTATGTATAGATATTACACGAGCAAGAAAGGCTTTAACTACAATCTCTAAATTGAGGAAACAACCAATCCAGTAGAAAAAAAAGGGTTACCAAAACTAAGCTCAATAAATCACCTTTTTCTTCAAACAAATTAATCACACACAATTTGTCATGTAATGACATGATTCACTTCGAAATGTACGAAGCATACATAAAGAGGTATTGGAAGCAACTTAACATATGACAAATAGTAAGAGAAGCAAGTTTGTTATTATTAACTAAACCAACCTTTTACCTGCACCGGATCCCCTTTACTCTTCAACCAAGTTACCTTCTTTCTTTTTCGTCATTGACATTCTATCTACCCCTCTATCTCAAGGCCTTTCTCTGCACTTTTTATTACAGTAAGTAGTTCTCTTTGATTTTTTCCATAGCTAATTATTATGGATTTACTGTTTTAGCATCTTGCACTTGTTGGATGAAGCACATTGGCGTCGCTGCCGGGACTTAGAAATTAGCTACTTGACTAAGTTAAGCTTTTATTAGTTATTTGTTCAAGTTTTAATTTTCAGTTTGCCTTGTTTGTGTTAACGCAGGATCTTCTCTTGAATGCGGAGGAATAGAAGTGCAAATAACCTCATTCCTCTTGATCCAGAAATTGAACGAACACTACATAGAGTGAGAAGGGAACTCGAAGCTAGAACGAGAATAGAAAAAGAGTTAGACATCGTAGTTCAATCACAGCCAATAGAGATGGCAGGTAATGAAGAGCGTCCGGTGATTGAAGCCGCAAGGCCCAATCTTGCGAATATGACTCAGGCTATTGTGAAGCCTAATATCACTGGACATTTTGAACTCAAACAGTACATGGTACAGCTGATTCAGTCCACAGGGTAATATGTGGGTCTATCTCATGAGGACCCGCAGAGGCACATTCAGAACTTCTTGGAAATTACGGACACTTACAATTATCCGAACGTCTCCAAGGACTATATCAGGCTGACACTATTTCCCTTTTCACTGTTGGGGGAAGCTAAGGAATGGTTGCAAAAAGAGCCCACGAACTCAATCCACACTTGGGATGATCTAGCAAGAAAATTCTTAATCAAGTTTTTCCCCACTAAGAAGACAAAGTCGCTGAGGTGCCAAATTCTTGGGTTCCAACAATGGGATGGCGAGACACTTCGTCAAGCTTGGGAAATATACAAGAAGCTACTCAGAGACTGCCCGCATCATTGTCAGACTGATGAGGTATTGGGTCACACTTTTGTTGATGGGTTAGATGAAGCATCAAAAATGAATCTTGACTCAGCTTGTGGGGGTAGTTGCATGGCGAGGCCGTATAGTGAAATACAACTCTTGCTAAATAACTTCACTGCCAATGACCATAATTGGCAAGGAGAGGGGGATTCAAGAAGGGCAATTAAACAGAAGGCAGCCGGGTTGATTGAGCTTGATGACTTCTCCGCCATGAGAGCCGATATAGCAAAATTGGCAAATCAGATGAATAGAATGACAACGCAACAAACACAACAGATGCAACATGTACAGCAGATATCTATTTGTTGCGAACTATGTGGTGACAGTCATATGAGTGACATGTGCCCCACGAATCCTGAATCTATATACTATGTGGGGCAACAGAGCAGGGGTCCAATGAATCAGCATGCACAATATGGGAATACTTACAATCCAAATTGGAAGAATCATCCTAACTTCTCATGGGGAGGAAATCAACAGAATCAGAACCAGTATAGGCCCCAAGGAAATTTTAATCAATCTCAGAGACCACCCCTACTAACAGAAGAGAGTACGAATGACTTGCTGAAGAAGTTGTTGCTTGATAATCAACAACTCAGGATCGATTTCAGAAATCTTGAGAGGCAAATGGGACAGTTAGCAGCAAATCAAAATACTAGACCTGCAGGCGCTCTTCCCAGTGATACAGAGAAGAACCCTCAAGTTAATGCAGTTACACTCAGAAACGGGAGGGAACTAGAAGAAGTGCCAAAGAAGAGAAAGAACAGTCCTATACCTGAGAGGGAGCTAATCCCTAAGGCAATACACGAGTCAAAAGAAAAATGATGCAAGTTCAGAGCTAGTGGGGGCTGCAAGGCCACCACCACCTTTCCCCCAGAGATTGCAGAAAAAGAATAATGATCGCATGTTCAATAAATTTCTCTCTATGTTAAGCCAAGTTCAATTGAATATTCCGTTGGTGGATGTACTTCGTGAAATCCCAAAATATGCTAAGTACATAAAAGATATAGTGGCTCACAAGAGGAAATTGACTGAGTTCGAGACAGTTGCACTTACTGAGTAGTGCACTTCAAGGGTCCAAAACAAGCTTCCTCAAAAAACTTAAGGATCCTGACAGCTTCACCATCCCTGTACAAATTGGTAATATTGACGTGGGTCGTGCCCTTTGTGATTTGGGGGCAAGCATAAATCTAATGCCCTTGTCATTATTTAAGCAATTGGGTCTGGGAGCTCCAAGACCAACCACTATGATGTTGCAATTAGCTGATAGGTCCATAGCCTACCCTGAAGGAGTAATTGAAGATGTATTGCTGCAAATTGGGAAATTTATCTTCCCAGCTGACTTCATTATTCTTGATTTTGAGGCTGATGAACAAGTTCCAATCATATTGGGATGACCTCTCTTGGCTACTGGTGATGCAATAATTAAAGTGAGAGAGGGAAAAATGATTATGAGGGTGGACAACGAGGAAGCAGTTTTTAATGTATACAAAGTGATCCAACTTCCCCGCCACTATGAGGAGCTCTATGATATCTATTGTGGAGGTGGATGAGAAACTTCTTGACACGAGTGTATATCTAGATGATTCTCTAGAAAAAGCAATCATGTTGTTTGATAGCTTGGAGATGGATGATGAGGTTGAGGAGATGATGCATATCCTAGATGCATCATGTGCTTATATGCAAGGACTAAACCCGTTTGAGCCCCTGAATAGGCCAAGTGGCCCCCTTCCAAAGCCGTCAATTGAAGAAGCCCCAAAATTGGAGCTTAAACCCCTACCCCCTCACCTTCAATACGCTTATTTGGGAAGTTCTGACACTTTATCTGTTATTGTTTCTTCTGACTTGTCTAAATTGCAGGAAAAAAAGTTGTTGAGAGTGCTACGTGAGCACAAGCGAGCAATTGGGTGGACGATGTCTGACATCAAAGGCATTAGTCCAGCTTTCTGCATGCATAAAATCCTCATGGAGGA